CAAAATGTATTTTTTTTTAAAAAATCTGTGAATAAAATTGAAAAAAGTGACTCTTCTTACAGTTTACTGTATTTTTTATTTAAAATTCTTGATCGCTCTCTTAATTTGGTTCAATCTTATTGTTAACTTCTAATATAGCAAATATAAAAAAGGCAGAATAATTTTTTATTTATAATTTCTTTTCAATTTGATTCTTAATTTTAAAAGTATAAAAGAAAATACCCTTAATTAAACAAAAATGTTTTTAATTCTCTAAATCTATAGTTTTTTAAGGACTAAATTAATAAAAATAAGTATGTGGGCTATATTTTGAACTTTTAAATAGTATATGGACTCTATGCATATTTAAACCTAAAATAAAAAATAAAACCGAGAAGGAAAAATGAAAATGAAAACGATTCGTTAAACCGGGTCGCTCTGGCTCTAAGTCTTCAACAAAGGCTAATGTATGCCAATTCTTCATCATCTTCACCAGCTCAAAAACTGTGCCAAGCACCGTTCCATTGTCTCCACCAAACAACTCCAGGCACATTTCATCAAACTCGGCTTGACTCAGTTTATCCATTTAACCAATACTCTTTTAAATGTTTATACCAAATGCAACCTCCTTGAAGACGCTGTCCAACTGTTCAACGAAATGCCCCAAAGAGACCATGTTTCATGGGCTACCATTCTTACTGCTCAAAATCAATCCAATTTACCCAAAAAGACCCTCTCTATATTCCCTTCAATGTTTTCATTTGACAGGTTGTTGCCCGATGATTTTGTTTTCGGTAGTCTTGTTAAGGCTTGTGGTAGCTTGGGGGCTATTAAACAAGGTAAGCAAGTTCACGGCAACTTTACAGTATCACCGTTTTTTGATGATGATGTTGTTAAGTCATCTTTGGTTGATATGTATGCGAAATGTGGATTACCTGATGATGGTCGTTTAGTTTTCAATTCTATTAAGTCGAAAAATATGGCTTCTTGGACTGCTATGATACATGGCTATGCTAGAAAAGGAAGAAAAGAAGAGGCTTTGAAGTTGTTTGCTAGGGTTTCTGTGAAAGATTTGTTTGCTTGGACTGCTTTGATATCCGGGTTAATACAGAGTGGCAATGCAGTTGATACATTTGGTTTGTTTGTCGAGATGAGAAGGAAAGGGATTAGCATAATCGACCCTCTTGTTCTTTCAAGCATAGTTGGTGCTTCTGCTAATTTAGCAATGTTGGAACTGGGAAAACAGGTTCATGGACTTGTTATGCGGCTTGGGTACGAAACTTGCGTGTTTATAAGCAATGCTCTTGTGGATATGTATGCAAAATGTAGTGATATATTGGCAGCAAGAGATGCTTTTTGTAGGATGTCACGAAGAGAAGTTGTTTCCTGGACATCGATAATAGTTGGGGCTGCTCAGCATGGACAAGCCGAGGAAGCATTGTCTTTGTACGATAAGATGGTTTTGAGTGGAGTAAAACCGAATGAAGTGACCTTTGTTGGATTGATTTATGCTTGTAGCCATGTTGGTTTAGTGAATAGAGGCCGCAAACTTTTTAAGTCTATGGTTGAGGATTACAGTATTCATCCTTCCTTGCAGCATTACACATGTTTGCTGGATCTTCTTGGTCGATCCGGATACCTTGTGGAGGCCGAAACTATCATAAACTCAATGCCATTTAAGCCAGATGAACCTACTTGGGCAGCGTTGTTAAGTGCATGTAAACAATATGGAAATGCCAAAATGGCCATTAGGTTTGCTGACCATCTACTTAGTTTGAAACCCGAAGAACCTTCGACTTATATTCTGTTATCTAATGTCTATGCTAGTTCCGGTGTATGGGAACATGCTTCAAAAGCAAGGCACATGCTGGAAGCTCTGGAAGTTAGAAAAAGAACCTGGTTATAGCTACGTCTATTTTGGCAAAGAAAGCCAAACATTTTATGCCGGGGAACCATCTCATCCGATGAAGGATGAGATATCCAGTTTGTTGAATGAGTATGACGTCGAGATGAGAAGAGGTTATGTTCCTGACACCAGCTGGATTCTGCATAACACGGAACACCAAGAGAAGGAGAGGCAACTGTTTTGGCATAGTGAGAGGTTGGCTGTTGCCTATGGGCTTCTTAACTCCGTTCCGGGGACCGTCATACGGATCGTGAAGAATCTCCGCGGATGCGGAGATTGTCACACCGTCTTAAAACTCATCAGTGATATAGTGAGAAGAGAAATCGTTGTCCGGGATGCCAAAAGATATCACCATTTTAGGGATGGGGAATGTTCATGCAATGACTTTTGGTGAGTTTCATCCGTGTTCATTTCCATTGTTGCCTGTTTAGTTTTACACCCCTTTTTCAATTGCATCTAATATAATGTTAAAGTAATTATTTGCGAATGCAGTAAATTGGGTTGAGAGAGTCACCTTTACCTTTACAGTATCCGATTCGGATTAGTCGATCAGTAGATCGGACAATGATTATACCTAAAAAAAAGTAAAATTTGATTTTAATCTATTTTACCTAAGAAATCGGCGAACTTGTATTAAAATTGTTTCTAAAAAGTACGATGTAAAAATATTTATGGGAAGTAATTTTTAAAACTTTAATTAAGATTTAAGTATTTAATATTGTTGTTAAAATATACTTTTAAGAAGATAAAATATCATTTTAAAAGTTAAAAATATTTATTTAAAAAATATTTAAATTCATTAATATTATAAAATATATTAAATTACAATACGATAAAAATATAAAAGTAACTTTTATTAAAAAATAAATTTATAACCATTGTATTTAAGTATTTATTCTATAAAAATATAAAATTTAAAATAATTCTATTTTGAAAATTGACATGTTGAAACATAAATATTTCAAACCAAGTTGGTTAAATATACTTTATGAATGAAAAAAATACTTTATGGATGTTAATTTAATTAAACCAACTTGATTAAATCACATCATTTTAATAGATTGCTTGGAATTGGACCGACTTAATCCATATCCATCCCACAAACGATGACAATGATAGAAATTTAGTCATTGATTTGCACCTAATCTTTTACTTATTTAATTTGTTTATTTTAAGTCTGAGTGCACTCACTTTTAAATTTTTAATCTTAGCCACTTTAGACATATCTTATTCAAGAAGATTAAAAACGTGAAAAAAATTTAATCAGACATGAGGACCACCATTACCTCCAATAATGGTATATATTAATTGTACTGATGTTTAAATTTATAAGTATTACAAAGTAATACGAAACGACCTATTAAAGCGTAAAGATTTGCATAAAGACAATGTAAAACATGCCACAAAAGTTAACAACCTAATTAAGTAAAATAATGCATTGTATGTCAAGTTGTGACATAGATGGAATCAAGGCTTATCAACGAATTGGATGAAATCGAAAAATTAATTTGAATAGAATTATATGGTTCAAGGTTTTATGATGATTCGATTTAGTTTCGATTTTTATATGGAATATGTATAGTTCAAATTGTTATATTTTTGAAGTTAGCTTCTAAAAATCTCCAGTCTTTTAGAATATGTGACGAACTCACTTCCTTTGAATCCATGCTTCTAATTAACTACAATGTAAAAACAATATATTTGACAAGTCCATATTATATGCCATAATGAAATTTAAGGTATGACGACTAAATCTGTCTAGTATGTCAGTATACAAATAGTCATAACAACCTTATGACATACGGATTAAAAAACACTATAACTATTCCCAATTAAGACTGGAAAGAGAGAAAGAACTGCTCATTAGTACAATTGACCCTTCTTGAATCTCCTACTCATGATGACTCATTCCCTTCTTCATCTAAACACCGATCAACGATTGTTCTCTCATTGGTTGCGATTATCTGTTCAAATCAGAACGGATGAATTGTCAATGACCGAAGAGATAAAATTGTTATCATCAACACAAATCAAACCAAATTAGAAAAGAAATAAAATAATGATCCAAATCAAATCAAATTCTTTTTTTTTAATTTGTTATAAGATATTTAAATAAATAAGATTTTAAAATTAATAATATTAATTTTTGTGAACTTAAACTTATGTGTTTGTACTTGGTTTAAACTTGAAGTTTACTTTATTTGAATATTAAGTTTAAAAAAAAGATTAATTAAAAATAATAAAATCAAATTGAAACTTTTGATTTTTATGTCATTCGGTTTTGAATTTTTTTTAAAAGCGTACAATACAATTAGCCCTCAACGGTTAAATGAAATAATATCTCATCAATGTTTTTAATCCTCAGTTAAAGCCTATCATGCTTTTATTGATGACATAATTTCAAAATTAGCCGTCAACGTTTACCAAAATGATCATTTTGTCATCTATTCTATTTTTTGGAGTATTTTGGCTCCCGACGTTACATTTTAGGGTAAAAAAAACCCTTAACATTTGACAGAATAATCATTTTATCTCTTATTATTTTTTGGGCATTTTAACCATCAACATTTTATTTTAGGTTAAAAAGGGCTCCTATTTTGGAGCGCTAATCGCATGTTAACTAATAGTTTTCATCTATCGAGGGAGCTTTTTGTCTCAAAGTGAAACGTTGAGGTTCAAAATGCTCGTTGAGATTCAAAATGCTCCAAAAGATATGAACAAAATGACTATTTTAGTAAACGTTAAGGACTATTTTTGACATTTTCCCTTTGTTAATAGCAAAGATCAAATTTAATTTCTACACGATAAAAATTTATCAATTAAAGTAAAATATTGCAATTTGATTGATTATGGCCATAATCAATCAAATTGCAAAGTTGTTAGTAAGTCTGGGTCGGACATGTTCAATTTTTCTCAAATTGTAAAATGTATGTCAAAAGATAATTTATTAAAACAAATATTTTATAAAATTAATTCATCAATCGATCTAAATCGAGTAATAGTAGAAAGAATATTTTTTTAATGTATTCAAAAAGATGAGGCGGTTTTCTGCATGTCACTCTCAGCTACACTTGGTTCCCAATAGCCTATAAATCACAGTAGATGCTCCCAATGTTTTTCACAAGCAATCGCCATTAGAGCCTTTTTGTAAGAAAAGATTAGAGAAAAACCAGAGATGGGTGAAGAAAGTGGGTGTTGCAAGAGAGCAGGAGGACCAGGATATGCAACTCCATTGGAAGCCATGTCTGGTCCTACAGAAGCTCTTCTCTATGTTACTTGTGTTTATAATGGTACTTTTCTTTATGTTCTCGTGGTAAATCTATCTTGAAATCTAAATTTTCTTCTGCTAGTTATCTATTTTATTGTTTATGTTCGTCTTGAAATTTTATCTATATTCACATATTTTATGTTATTAATATATGAGTGTCTATCTTTAAAAATATTTTTTGATTCGTTAATGTTCTGATCATGCATGTGATAGTTTTGAAGTTGGTAAATGAGTTTTCATTTTTTGCAATGGAATTTGTATGAATGCAGGAACTGGTAGAGAGAAGCCTGATTTTCTGGCAACGGTTGATGTCGATCCGAACTCACCTACTTATTCGAAAGTTATACACAGGCTGTCTTTGCCATATACAGGCGATGAACTTCATCACACTGGGTGGAATTCATGCAGTTCCTGCCATGGTGATCCCTCTGCAACTCGACGTTTCCTGATCCTGCCTGGGTTGCTGTAAGATAACATACTCTATATCATATTTTATATATATCTTTATATTCGTATTTGGACGTGTCACATTCTTAGAGTGTCGTATTCTCGTATCTGTATTTGTATATATATACATTCAGATCTGGCCGTGTCTATGTGATCGACACACAGAAGAATCCGAAGGCTCCGTCGTTGCACAAAGTGGTGGAGCCGGAAGACATCGTTGAGAAAACTGGCTTAGCATACCCCCACACATCTCACTGCCTCGCCTCCGGAGACGTAATGATTTCGTTTCTAGGAGACAAAGATGGACACTCCAAAGGCAATGGATTTCTCCTCCTCGATTCCCAATTCAACATCAAAGGAAGGTAAAAGCAATAAACTCCGAACAACAGAATATCGTCAATTGCGTCTTAATTCTTTGATATGAACATCTAAATAACCGTAACTTGTTGTTGTCTTCAGGTGGGAGAAACCAGGGCCTAAAGCTGATTTCAGCTATGATTTTTGGTACCAACCTCGACATAAAACGATGATCTGTTCATCATTTGGGGCTCCTTATGCTTTCACCCAAGGTTTCAACCTTAAACATGTCGAAGATGGTCTTTATGGAAGACAACTCTTTGTCTATGACTGGCCTGATGGTCATCTTAGACAAACATTGGATCTTGGTGACAATGGTCTCATCCCCGGAGAGGTTTATAACTTTGTTTCCGAAACTAGATTTTGCTTGTGTTTATGTTGTAATGATATGTTAATGTAGGGACAGACACAAAATTTTATATTAGGAAAACAAACGAAAATAGATTCCTACAATAATGTTATTGTTTCAAGGGATGACCATCTCCATCAATCTCCTCTTGGTTCATCCCTGTATTAATGTTATTGTTTCTTTGTAGATAAGATTCTTGCATGAACCATCCAAAGACATGGGGTACGTCGAGTGTGTCTTAACAAGCAACGTGGTACGGTTTTTCAAGACCCAAGATGGATCATGGGGCCACGAGGTGTCTATCCAAGTGGAGCCACTGAAAGTGGAGAATTGGATCCTTCCCGAAATGCCCGGGCTTATAATCGGACTTTTGATCTCACTCGACGATCGATTCCTGTATTTCGTCAACTGGTTTCATGGAGATGTCCGACAATACAACATCGAGGACCCTAAAAACCCGGTCTTGGTCGGACAAGTATATGTTGGAGGATTGCTTCGAAAGGGAAGCCCTATAGTCGCCGTTGCAGAAGATGGTACAACATGGCAAACCGATGTTCCTACAATCCAGGTTTGTTCTAACATCGATATATAGTATTTTACCGACTCACCGGTCTCATACGACTATTGGAGACACTCGAATCCCGATGTTTTACCGTAATGACAAAACATCGATGTTAACTTGTCGGATTGATCATTCCTAACGTTGTTCATAGGGACATAGCTTGAGAGGGGGACCTCATATGACACAGTTGAGCTTGGATGGGAAGAGGCTATATGTGACAAACTCGCTGTTCAGCACATGGGATCGGCAGTTCTATCCGGATGTCATAGAGAAGGGTTCCCACATGCTGCTGATCGATGTCGACACCGAGAAAGGCGGTCTTACGATAAACCCGGATTTTTTTGTCGATTTCGGAGCCGAACCCGATGGACCTTGCCTGGCTCATGAGATGAGATACCCGGGTGGTGATTGCACTTCAGACATTTGGATTTAAGCATCTCTAAAACCAGTTTGGCCATGAAGAAATCATCCCATAGTAGGGAAAAAGATAATCAATGCAGATGATTCTAGTGACGTGTGAAATTATATGTTGCCTAAAATGTTCAGATAAGATCTAAATCTTAAGAATAAATCATTTCTAAATATGATTAAAAATCCTCTTCTCCTTTTATACAGTCTCTTAGTCTAAAATAAACAATCGTAGTAAAGTGTAACCCCTCATACCGATGTGGATAGTTCGATCCGATCTAGAGTGTCACATTAGGCCACCGGAGCGACCCACTGTAAAAATAATGGAAAATTTAAATTTTTTCTTAAAACATGTAAAATCATAAAATGATTTATTATTATTTAGAAGTTAAATAGGTTTTTCAAACTCAGATATAAAACAAAATACAATCTGCATGCCCCCTAATCACATGTACCATCCTCTGAAAGCAAAGCACGAAGAACTCCCTTATTGATGGCAACAGTTGCACCGGTACAATTCTTTTAACCTACCATGGTGAGTAATAGAGTGAGCTTCGAAAAGCTCAGTAACACAGAACTACCAGATGATGCTACATGACATGCAGATAAATGGAAAGCCATACAATTTTCTTATTGAATCATACGTATACCAGTTTGCGGAATAATATGGGGATCCCTTAATAGATCATCGAGTAGAAGCCATTAAGAACACATTTCATAGGAAGTATTCATAATATCACGTTTCATGAGGTCGAATAGGATGTCTAGTGTGTTCCATCAGTACGATAAAATCATAATAAGTACACTAATCAAATGATAGTTCAGTAAATCCCATAAACCATACTGTAGTGGAGCTTTCTAAACTCGTATTTTAAAACCATCGTATAAATAATTAACCTAAGGGAACATCTTAGAGCCTGAGAGCCTACCCAAGAAAGTTCGGGGCCACGAGGCCTACCTAAGAACACATCTTATAACCGCGGTGCCTACCCGAGAATGATCTCAGGGCCGCAAAGCCTACCTAAGAGTCACATTAGGTCCATAAAAATTTTCCAGCTGGATCCCTTAATAGATCATCGAGTAGAAGCCATGAAGAACACATTTCATAGGAAGTATTCATAATATCACGTTTCACGAGGTCGAATAGGATGTCTAGTGTGTTCCATCAGTACGATAAAATCATAATAAGTACTCTAATCAAATGATAGTTCAGTAAATCCCATAAACCATACTGTAGTGGAGCTTTTTAAACTCGTATTTTAAAACCATCGTATAAATAGTTAACCTAAGGGAACATCTTAGGGCCTGAGAGCCTACCCAAGAAAGTTCGGGGCCACGAGGCCTACATAAGAACACATCTTATGGCCGCGGTGCCTACCAGAGAATGATCTCAAGGCCGCAGAGCCTACCTAAGAGTCACATTAGGTCCATAAAAATTTTCCAGCTTGATCAGAGCTGTACTTTACAAATCTGTATCTCCAAGATACAATTTATACCGTGATACAAATCCATAAGCCATCACCATTAAGTCGGTGCATCCATAAAACAGTAACCATTAATTTCAGTGTACCTCATGTTAAAACAATAAAACAATTTATTAAAATATAAGGAACACACTAGAGAAATCCCAATATTTATCAAAGGCATTTTGTAGTCATCAATATGGATAACATGAACTTGTGCAATTTGATCGGATTCCAGGAATAATATCTTATTGAAGAGAATCGTTTACTAATCGGTCCAAACAGACATTTAAGGTTAATACTTTGGAATCCCACTATGTTTCTATGTGCATTATCAAACAACTTGAGCTGAACAACTTTCAGAACTGATGCTTGTCGATTTGTTAATTCATTGCCCTTCCTGTTATTCACTCTATAATACTAACAATTCTTGTCCATAAATCATTTTCATAATCATCACTAAATATAGCTTAAGGAATCGAACAAGCATCCTTATAATCTTTATTTTCTTTCCACATTACAACAATATCAAGAATTGATGAAGTATTTGATTCTTAGTTCATAACCATAGGGACCGTACATCATACAAGTTTATTGTATTTCTAGACTCATCCAATTACATATTAAATTCCCGTCATTAAGGTTCCTTGGTTCATTTAGCAATTAATGCTATCCCGGTTACTTCAGAGTTTTTCAGAGTAATTCTGACACTTCTGAGTTTCGGATAAATGTTGTACTTCCATTCAGTTCACTTTGGTCATATAATAAAATCATTTTGGTATTCGTGATTGATTTATCTCACGAATATCCACTTCTTAATATCGCATGCGCTCTAGCGTTGAGCTGAGTTGAGTACTTCCATAATTATTATCAATCCAAACTTGAGGAGACGAACTATCATTCAAGTGATATCTTTGTCATTCAGTACTAATATAGCACTAGCATTGTTTAACCGGCTTAAATTATGTTTCATAACATTAAAGAGCAGTACAACATCCATATTTATTTGAATTTCTTAATTAATCCAAGACATTTACTTAGTATAGACCATAAGGGTATTTCAGTCATTTTACAGATCCCACGTATTTTAATCAGTTCCTTTCGTCCGATCTTATTATTTAATTCAGAATTATCATCTATTCCATTCTATACGAATAATTCTGACAGAAGAGCACCCTCAATAATTTATTCTTCAGGTATTCACTCATAAGTCGAAGATTTCAAGTTAAATACCTTCTCAGATGTTACTAACGAATTATCAGAAATTTCCGTACAAAAATAGGATCTCAATAAGTAAATCAGTAATTTATCGAGTTAAAAAATGAATCCTCAAAGTACTTTCTCATTCAGGGTCAACTCGAACTATTTTTACTTCTAAAGGGCATTTTTGTAATTTCTTAACCAAATAATTTCGGTATTGACTCTTAACGAAAATAATTATACTTTAGAGATCCAATGGTTAATTACTTTCACGAACATTCTTTGATCTCAAAATGATTCATTAACAGACTTCTGGTATCTTGCATAAACCCTATTGGATTAAAACCTATTATCCAAATTTTCTAAGCAAACTAGCATTTCTTATGCACATCTGTAATTTTATCAGATCAATATATCATTTCAGAGTTATTAATCAACTTTCAGGAACAATTCTTGTCATCTTACAATATAAGGGTATTTCCGTAATTTTACTATACCGGAATATTCTCATAATTTCCCACCAAGTACCTTTGATGAATAAAATATGGTATAGATCCAAGTGATTCATTTATCACTATACACAGAACTTGAAATTTTAATTCTAACATTCCATCAATTTCTCATAAAAATCATCTGAACCATAATCAGTTACCGAATTTTATCGTATTCGGATCGAGTGTAGAAATTAATTAACTACATATGAGACCAATATTATCTTATCATGCATTTACCAATACAACATGTTTCATAAAGCATAAAGAGGTATTAAAGTATTACCTCGATTTTCATGCAATACTGATCTACCTTAAAAATTCCATTCGAACGCCATCGATCTTTAATTCAACTTCCGAGTTCGATTTTGGTGAAACGGATCTTAAAATCGGAACATCAACAAAACCCAAAATATTAGTCTTAAATTCCAGCTCATAAACTTGATTTCTAGCTTCCAATCTTTTTCTAACGAATACGGATAATTTATCGTATAAATACGACTTCCAATAATTTTTCTTGCCATAAAAAAAATAACTTATTAGAATCTAATTAATAATTTGAAAACCTAATTTGCATAACTAAAAACTTGAAGAGGCAGTAATATTTAATTACTAACATCATGGACTAAATTGATATTGTAAAAATTATTATGTCATAACTATAACCACTTGGAAACTAAGAGACAAGGTAAAGATCTCACCAAACTTGGATGACATACCTTGTGGTTTACCCCTTTTTGCATGTTATTAACAATTCCCCATAACCCACGTGCTTTGCTATTTCTTCAGTTCAGACTTTCTTTCACCCATACTTTCTTTACTTCTTTCTTCATTTATTATTATTATTTCCATTACCAGCTCTCAACCTTGATTGAGAAAGCAAAATGATAAGCACTAAACCAGCTAGGACAAGGAGAAAGCTGGTGGAGAGCATGTATTTGAGAAGTTTGGAGTTGATTGTTTTTGTAGCATGCCGTTGAGATCCGACTCAAATAAGAACTTCACTTGTTGGACTAATCCCCAGTTTTCCTTGATAATTTCTGAGGATCCAAGTTCAAGAACGCTACAAGAAATCGGTATACAGACCATAGTTTCAATGCCATTCAACTGTGTTTCTTTAGCCCTTTCGCAATTATAAAACTGCAACTCGCGGGCATCAGTTAACCACACCAAAGAGCCGGTCGTAAGAGACTTTCCTGGGATCCCTTCGCCGGCAGAGAAACTCCTTGTCAAAGACAACATGTAGAACCATTCAGCATCACTAATATTCGTCCCGTCGATCATCGACATATTGATGTCGTGGTTATCTCCGACGAGGTCTTGGATTCCTTCCATCACCTTCCTTCGTTCATCTTGCAACCCCTGAATGTCTGAAATTTTATTGGCACGTAATTTCAGGGACGTATCTTTGGTGTCTTGAAAATGATCGTCTCCCCAAGCCAAAAACAACCGACCCTGGTCATCGTTCGACGCTTGCTATAAAAAAAATAGCGTATGCCCACCAATCCAGATGCCTCTCAATTACACGTTGAAGCCTCTGCTGGAGAGTCAGAGGTGGAGTTTTATTTGAAAAGGACACTAATAAAGAAGATGAAGATGGTGAGATTATTAGTTCTTCCATGGCCGACAGACGGTAAAAAGAAATATCAAGTGTGAACTGGTCGAGGGTTTTGTCTTTGGCTTCTAAATGATCAGTACTTACAATATTTTGCTCCATTATGTATATACACTCTATAGCAGGAAATAATATAAAATTTCCTCTAAAATGGAAAGCAATAGATTCCAATCATGCTGCCATTATCCTTATTTAAAAAATTATATATCTTATTGAGTGACCCTCAATAATTACAATAATTGGAGTGTTACAATTCTCATCTTCTTTAAAGAATTTCGTCTTCGAAATTCATTAATGTCAAAAAATTACAAAAATGAAATTTATATCAGTTCATTTATATCTTTCAGTAGATTTTACAGAAGTATCGATACTCTCTTAATCCTTAACCAGTTGAGTATACATTTTTTTTCCAAAACTCGCTCTCTTTCCAATAAAAGAATCAGATTATATTTATCCTTGTAGAATCAATTCAGCCTTAGTTACCAGAATAAGCTCATATAGCGATAACATATCCCAATTTTATTTTCGGAGTCGAGTCAGAATTTCTCAAATGAGTAACTCTCACATGGCTCGTAAGGTACTTTACAGAATTTAAACGGTCGTTACCGATATTCCTTTATGCAATAGTAGAGTCCTAACGGATAGAAAACTTAGATTTGCTCGTTATAAATAGGGACTCAACCTTGGCGTTCAGGCTCAGATATGTACGATTGTAGTCTAAGGACATGTACTGATCAGACATCTTTTGACATTCGACCGACCGGTCTATCATGAAAATTTTGACTCAAACCAAAGCTCTGATACCACTAAATGTAACCCCCTCAGACCGATGCGGATAACCCGATCCAATCTAGAGTGTCACATTAAGCCACCGGAGCGACCCACTGTAAAAATAACGGAAAATTTAAAAATTTTCTTAAAACATGTAAAATCATAAAATGATTTATTATTATTCAGAAATTAAACATGTTTTTCAAACTCAGATATAAAACAAAATACAATATGCATGCCCCTTAATCACATGTACCATCATCTGAAAGCAAAGCCGGAAGAACTCCCTTATTGATGTCAACAGTTGCACCGATACAATTCTTTTAACCTGCCATGGTGAGTAATAGAGTGAGCTTCGAAAAGCTCAGTAACACATAACTACCAGATGACGCTACATGACATGCAGATAAATGAAAAGCCATACAATTTCCTTATTGAATCATACATATACCAGTTTGCGGAATAATCTGAGGATCCCTTAATAGATCATCGAGTAGAAGCCATGAAGAACACATTTCATAGGAAGTATTCATAATATCACGTTTCATGAGGTCGAATAGGATGTCTAGTGTGTTCCATCAGTACGATAAAATCATAATAAGTACACTAATCAAATGATAGTTCGATAAATCCCATAAACCATACTGTAGTGGAGCTTTTTAAACTCGTATTTTAAAACCATCGTAGAAATAGTTAACCTAAGGGAACATCTTAGAGCCTGAGAGCCTACCCAAGAAAGTTCGAGGCCACGAGGCCTACCTAAGAACACATCTTAGGGCCGCGGTGCCTACCCGAGAATGATCTCAGGGCCGCAGAGCCTACCTAATAGTCACATTAGGTCCATAAAAATTTTCCAGCTTGATCAGAGCTGTACTTTACAAAATATGTATCTCCAAGATACAATTTATACCGTGATACAAATCCATAAGCCATCACCATTAAGTCGGTGCATCCATAAAACAGTAACCATAAATTTCAGTGTACCTCATGTTAAAACAATAAAACAATTTATTAAAATATAAGGAACACACTAGAGAAATCCCAATATTTATTAAAGGCATTTTGTAGTCATCAGTATGGATAACATGAACTTGTGCAATTTGATCGGATTCCAGGAATAAGATCTTATTGAAGAGAATCGGTTACTAATCGATCTAAACAGACTTTTAAGGTTAATACTTTAGAATCCCACTATGTTTCCATGTGCATCCAGAATAACCGGAGTGATTTGAGTCGAAAAAGAAGAAACGAATATTCAGGGCAATTACCATCCATGACAATCGATCGGATTATCGAACAACTTGAGCTGAACAACTTTCAGGAACTGATGCCTGTCGATTTGTCAATTCATTGCCCTTCCTGGTATTCACTCTATAATACCAACAATTCTTGTCCATAAATCATTTTCATAATCATCGTTAAATATACCTTAAGGAATCGAACAAACATCCTTATAATCTTTATTTTCTTTCCATATTACAACAATATCAAGAATTGATGACGTATTTGATTCTTAGTTTATAATCATAGGGACCGTACATCATACAAGTTTATTGTATTTCTAGACTCATCCAATTACTTACTAAATTCTCCGTCATTAAGGTTCCTTGGTTCATTTATCAATTAATGCTATCCCGATTACTTCAGAGTTTTCCAGAGTAATTCAGACACTTCTGAGTTTTGGATACATGTACTTCCATTCAGTTCACTTTGGTCATATACTAAAATCATTTTGGTATTCGTGATTGATTTATCTCACGAATATCCACTTCTTAATATCACATGCGCTCTAGCGTTGAGCTGAGCTGAGTACTTCCATAATTATTATCAATCCAAACTTGCGGAGACGAACTATCATTCAAGTGGTATCTATGTCATTCAAGTACTAATATAGCACTAGCATTGTTTGATCGGCTTAAATTATGTTTCATAACATTAAAGAGCAATACAACATCCATGTTTATTTGAATTTCTTAGTTAATCCAAAACATTTACTTAGTATAGACCATAAGGGTATTTTAGTCATTTTACAGATCCCACGTATTTTAATCAGTTCCTTTCGTCCGATCTTATTATTTAATTCAAAATTATCATCTATTCCATTCTATACGAACAATTGTGACAGAAGAGCACCCTCAATAATTTATTCTTCAGGTATTCACTCACAACTCGAAGATTTCAAGTTAAATACCTTATCAGATGTTACTAACGAATTATTAGAAATTTCCATACAAAAATAGGATCTCAATAAGTAAATCAATAATTTATCGATTTAAAAAATGAATCCTCAAAGTATTTTCTCATTCAGGGTCAACTCGGACTATTTTTACTTCTAAAGGGCATTTTCATAATTTCTTAACCAAATAATTTCGGTATTAACTCTTAACGAAAATAATTATACTTTAGAGATCCAATGGTTAATTGCTTTCCCGAACATTCTTTGATCTCAAAATGATTCCTTAACAGATTTCTGGTATCTTGCATAAACCTTATTGAGTTAAAACCGGTTATCCAAATTTTCTAAGCAAACTAGCATTTCTTATGCACATCTGTAATTTTATCAGATCAATATATCATTTCAGAGTTATTAATCAACTTTCAGGGACAATTCTTGTCATCTTACAATATAAGGGTATTTCCGTAATTTTACTCTACCGGAATATTCTCATAATTTCCCATCCAAGTACCTTTGATGAAATAAATTATATGGTATAGATCCAAGTTGATTCATTTATCACTATACACAGAACTTGAAATTTTTAATTCTAACATTCCATCAATTTCTCATAAAAATCATCTGAACCATAATCAGTTACCGAATTTTTATCGTATTCGGATCGAGTGTAGAAATTAATTAACTACATATATGAGACCAATATTATCTTATTCATGCATTTACCAATACCAACATGTTTCATAAAGCATAAAGAGGTATTAAAGTATTACCTCGATTTCCATGCAATACTGATCTACCTTAAAAATTCCATTCGAACGCCATCGATCTTTAATTCAACTTCCGAGTTCGATTTTGGTGAAACGGATCTTAAAATCGGAACATCAACAAAACCCAAAATATTAGTCTTAAATTCCAGCTCATAAACTTGATTTCTAGCTTCCAATCTTTTTCTAACGAATACGGATAATTTATCGTACAAATACGACTTCCAATAATTTTCCTTGCCATAAAAAAATAACTTATTAGAATCTAATTAATAATTTGAAAACCTAATTTGCATAACTAAAAACTTGAAGAGGCAGTAATATTTAATTACTAACATTATGGACTAAATTGATATTGTAAAAACTATTATGTCATAACTATAACCACTTGGAAACTAAGAGACAAGGTAAAGATCTCACCAAACTTGGATGACATACCTTATGGTTTACCCTTTTTTGCATGTTATCAACAATTCCCCATAACCCACGTGGTTTGCTATTTCTTCAGTTCAGACTTTCTTTCACCCATACTTTCTTTACTTCTTTCTTCATTTATTATTATTATTTATATTACCAGCTCTCAACCTTGATTGAGAAAGCCAAATGATAAGCACTAAACCAGCTAGGACAAGGAGAAAGTCGGTGGAGAGCATGTATTTGAGAAGTTTGGAGTTGATTGTTTTTGTAGCATGCCGTTGAGATCCGACTCAAATAAGTACTTCACTTGTTGGACTAATCCCCAGTTTTCCTTGATAATTTCCGAGGATCCAAGTTCAAGAACGCTACAAGAAGTCGGTATACAGACCATAGTTTCAATGCCATTCAACTGTGTTTCTTTAGCCCTTTCGCAATTATAAAACTGCAACTCGCGGGCATCGGTTAACCACACCAAAGAGCCGGTCGTAAGAGACTTTCCCGGGATCCCTTCGGCGGCAGAGAAACTCCTTGTCAAAGACAACATGTAGAACCATTCAGCATCACTGATATTCGTCCCGTCGATCATCGACATATCGATGTCGTGGTTATCTCCGACGAGGTCTTGGATTCCTTCCATCACCTTCCTTCGTTCATCTTGCAACCCCTGAATGTTTGAAATTTTGTTGGCACGTAATTTCGGGGACGTATCTTTGGTGTCTTGAAAATGACCGTCTCCCCAAGCTAAAAACAACCGACCCTGGTCATCGTTCGACGCTTGCTATAAAAAAATAACGTATGCCCACCAATCCAGATGCCTCTCAATTACATGTTGAAGCCTCTGCTGGAGAGTCAGAGGTGGAGTTTTATTTGAAAAGGACACTAATAAAGAAGATGAAGATGGTGAGATTATTAGTTCTTCCATGGCCGACAGACAGTAAAAAGAAATATCAAGTGTGAACTGGTCGAGGTTTTTG